GATGAATGCCACGCCATTCCTCTTCAAACTGTCATTCCCGGCATAGTAGATAATATGGTTGTCTGATTCAAAATGGCCAAAACCAGTCCATTTCAGCTCACTAATGACTAGGATATCAATCTTTATGCATTCTATTTAGTTTTTGACAACTTTCAATTTTCCTAGATTCATACTTCATACATTCCATGTTTTGATAATTAATGGATGTTTGCAGCTGTTTCTCCTCAATTTGAGTGGTGCCACATCAGCAAATGGAGGTCTCGAAAGCCTTACCTTATCCATATGAGTAAGGCTGGTTTTACTCTGATGATGCAGCTCTTTCTCAGTCCTATTTTGAGACCCCTCCAACCTAAGTGACTCATCCTCTTCCTCTGTATTGGACAATGTTTGCAGACTATTCATAAAGTTGTGCAGTAATGTATCAGGCAGTGTTTCTTTGCTTTTCATAAGGTATTCCCTGGACAATTCTTTGAGAAGTGGATGGCCTCTTCCTTCTTCCTCATCTGTCTCAGTCTGCAAGCCAGGCTGATACCTGTGCACTATGTGCACCCCGCTGGGTTTAAAACACTGGTGGCACAGCCTCAAGACTCACAGCAACACGTCACCACAGTAGGACAAACCGACAGACAAGTTTGTCTCCCTTAGTTGTTGGAAACCTCTCCAACCACCCTGACCTGGATCCCTGCAGCTGACTCCTCACTCTGTCCTGGTCACCCCTGGCCTTTCCTCTCCTTTCTCCCACTTTCCCGCCTTGCTGCTTGTGAGGTGTGGTCTGGGTTCCCTCTCCTCACCTGGATATCTGCGGCTGACTCCTCGCTCTGTCCCAGTCCCCCTGGCCTTTTCTGTCCTTTCCCCGCTTTACTACCTTGCTGCTTTGGGACATGGCCTGGGTTCCCTCTTCTCACCTGGATCCCTGTGGCTAACTCCTTACTCTGTCCCCATCCCCTGGCCTTTTTCCTCTCCTTTCTCCTGTTTTTCTGCCTTGCCACTTTGGGGCATGGCCTGGGTTCCCTCTCCTCACCTGGATCCCTGCCACTGATTCCTCACTCTGTCCCAGTCTCCCTGGCCTTTTACTCTTCTTTTTCCCACTTTCCCACCTTGCTGCTTTGGTGCAGGGCCTTGGTTCCTTCTCCTCACTTGGATCCCTGCGGCTAACTCCTCACTCTGTCCCGGTCCCCTGGCCTTTTTCCTCTTCTTTCTCCTACATTCCCACCTTGCTGCTTGTGGGGTGTGGCTTGGGTTCCCTCTCCTCACCTGGATCCCTGCAGCTGACTCCTCACTCTGTTCCAGTCCCTCATACACACATACATACATAGAGTATCATACCCACCAACAAAAAAACAAACTTACTGCCATCAAATTTATTCTGACTCATAGAGACCTCTATTGGGTTTCCAAGGCTATAAATCTTTACAGAAGCAGATTGCCTCATCTTCCTCCCACAGAGCAGCTGCTGGGTTTGGACTATCAACCTTCTGGTTTAGTAGCCAAATGCCTTACCCACTATGCCACCAGAGCTCCTTTACCATACGTAAGAGCTTCGAATATCTTACCCTTTCTAATGCTCACAATTATTCTATAAAAAAGATGTCATGTTATTATCCAGCTTCCATGTATGAGGAAACATCCCAGGTCACATGACTGAGATGCCACTCTTGGTCTACGTGATTCCAAAGCAAGTGTTCTTCCCATCTACTACATGGCTCTTTTTGCTATTACTGACCTCTCAAGACATGAGAAAGGCATTGAAGCTGAATGAATTGGTCATCTTTTTTTGGAGACCAAATAGCAGAATTTTCCAACATTGAAGAAAATTCAGAAATTTAAACCAGTCCTCTATAAAGCATCTTATATACTTTAACTATTTATGGCAAGGATGTATAATCTCAGACTAGGAAATAGGTTGTTTCATCACTGATGTTATCAAAGTTACAAAGTCTCAACTCTAGAAGCCTAATAAACAGCAATGCCACAAAGTGGAAGTACTAAGTCCTGCTCTGCATCAGTAACATGCCTAAAACCCTAATCTTTGGTCAGACAGATTTTATCCTAATGTCAACACTGATCAGACACTCAAGAAGTTACAATGATATTAAAAAACACTTTGGAAATGTGTAAATATTGTCTTTTTGGAAACAAACCTCACAAATGAAGAAATTTATATTATCATGTATTTAACATCATTACTTACCTTTATTTAAAGTAAACATTTGCACATCATCACCCAAATTTTCTAATTTTTGAAAAATGATGAGACCAGCCTATATGGTAGAAAAACAAAAAGAGATTGCTAAAGACAACTGAAATAAAACTCTCTGTTCCATCTTCAGAAAATTAAAAGAGAATAATTCCCAAAGCATCCAAAAAGCTGAATCAAACCTATCATGCAAAAATCTATATATTAGGCAAAGATCTATAATTGATATCTATATATCTATTATCCAAAGATCTATGTATCTTCATTTAATCACATCAATTGTGGGAATTGAGAAACTAAACTGCCTAACATTTAAAAATATAAATTTTTACTTTTTAATACTCAAAATTATAAAGCAAGTACCTAAATCAATAACTTATAACGGGAATCTAACAAGTATCAGTAGACTAAACCAAAAAACCCAAATCCACTGCCATCGAGTTGATTCTGACTCACACGAACCACATAAAAAAGAGTAGAACTGCCCCACGGGGTTCCTAAGGATGTAATCTTTAAGAACACAGACTGCCACTTCTTTCTCCTGTGTAGCAGATGGTGAGTTCAAACCACTGACCCTACAGTTAGCACTGAGCTCTCCACTGAGCCACTAGGGGTCCTTCCTTGGAGACCCTAAGGGCAGTTCTACTCTGTGCTATAGGGTTGCTATGAGTCAGAATCGACTTGACAGCAATGGTGAACAAGATAACTTCAAGTAAAAGTCTGTTTGGACTATAGGTACGCACCTCCCCCACTTCATTATATCAGTTGAGAGTGTCATTCTGGATATGAACAGTCCTCCTCCTGGGTACTATTAACAGGAATAATCAACTCATGTTGATATTTCATTTGAAAAAAGAAGCTAGAGGACCTACATTAGTATTAATAACTTTTATGATTTTTAAAGAGACATAAAGGAAATCATTGCCTTATTTCCTTGAGAAAAATAATTTTTTTTCAAGTTGCAAGACAAAAGAGTTTCCATTCCTAAAAAAAGGTGCAAAATGTGAAACAAGATAGTCATTACAAGTAAGTTTAAGAATTAGGGGAAAAGAAACCCACTGAGGCATAAAATATATTCCATAAGAAAAAATACCAAATAGTGCTACATATAAATACAAATTTCATCTAATACAAATATGTTATATATGAAATGTATCTAACAGCAGTGGCAAGCTAAATTTGGAGGTCATTTTTCTAATTTTTACCACATTTTAAATATAAATATAGGAAATAAAGCTAGTTTGAATATATAAACTGTCTTGTAATTATTTTTATTCTTAAGTTATTTATAAATCAAATACATCATTAATGCCATTTGTGCTTGCCCACCCTGGACTAATTATTAGCCTTTCATGTTTTTAGAGAGTTAACATTTCCTGCATACAAAATTGGATATTATTTTGACTACATGAAGATGAAAATAACTAGCACTGAATAATCTATTGATTGGTACTTGCAAATTAATATTGAGTATTAATAGTGTCACCTAATTTCTTCTTAAGAATTCTTAATGTCAAACTACTTTAAAATATTTTAGTTGAATATCTGCCACTAACATAATAAAATTTTTCTGAAAGAATTTATAATAATGTTTAAAAAAATATATGACAGACCAAAGACCTTTAAGTACATACATAAGCATCAGTAGCTGCATACAGTTTCTGGTCCTCAGTGAGAGGAAAATTACTCCAATTGCTACAGCGGATAGACTTGTCTTTCAGAAGCTGTTTGCTTAAGAGGTGTTTAACCAGACCATTGAGGCTCCAGGTCTCTGTACATTTCAGCTAGAAGTAATGAAAAAATCAACATGACAAAATTATTTTCTCCTATTTTCTTATGTTCCTAAATACAGCCAAATAACCATGCTACAAATAAAACTGGAAATATTTTACCAAAATTTAACCCAGAGATATTCCTCAATACATTCACTGTCACTTAAAACCTTTTTGGTAGCCCACGTTATAAGAATGTCATTCCGGAATTCCCCTGACATTAAGTATTAAAATTCGTGGACTATAAAAGTATTATTTATGGAAAAAGTTGAATAGTTAATAAGCTTCCAACTTCCCAGTCAAATGAGTACCTGGCTAAATATTAGGATTTAACTTAATGGCTGCATTAATAAAATATGTGAAATACAGATGATGGAACTGATTGATGGTCAAACTTCTGCTAAAACCATTATACAACAAGAGTTAGCCTATGCTCTCCCCCCAAAAAAATTAAAATTAAAAAGTTATTACTGATATAAATGGATTATAGAGAAGAACTTGAAATATAATATTTAAAATATGCAAATAAGTGAAACAAAGTAAAAAGCGCAACAAGAAATGAGAGAGTAGAGTACTTAAATTGTATGCCAAAACAATGGATTAGAACTGCAGGTTTTCATTACAGAATACTAATTTGGAACATTTTTTGTGTTACCAAGCCATAATCTAGATTATTTTTTCAAAAAAAAAATCTAATATTCAGATAGAATGGACATTCTGTGAAGCACAAAATTATTTATGGAAAAAAATATGTATACTCTACCTTTTCATTGGCAACATCTGTCAGTTCCACAAAACTCTTCAATTTAATGTCAAAGTCACGTAGAAGTTTCCACTGATCTCCTTCAATTCCTATGCCTGCCTTTTTAATTGCCTCATTTTCAAGTAACATTTTTAATCCCTGGGGGAAAACTAAAATATTTTATTGTTATTCCAACAGGTTTGATCAAGTACAATGGATTTATTTTCTACTTCTTATACATAAAAAGTTTGTATTTAAATTTACTTGTGTTAAATTTACATTAAAATACACATTCACCTTGAGTATTTCTTCTCTAACCTGAAGCACAATGTAATTGATACACGACAAGAAAAAAGAACTGGTATGAATGCCACCTACACTAATACTAGCAATTTATTCTCGGTTATTAGCCCCTCTAAATTTTAGTTCTCTCCTCTTTCAAATAGGAATAGTGTCAATCTCATATGCCTGGCAGGGATGTTGCTGAAATTAAATATAACAGGAGATGTGAGTGAATCAAATGGAATATAAATATTTAAATAAATATAGAGTGATAACAGAAGTGTCAGCAGTTAAGAAAGCTTACATTCTAGGGGAAAAGTTGACAGATAAAATTATTGATCACACAAAAATAAAACAAAGAAATACCAACCTGACATAGAAGAAATATGAAACAAGTAACATTTGCTCTCTGACACACATAACTGAATTAGAGCAACTCTGCCTAGTTTCCCTTTATTGTACACAGGTGGCCATTCCATGTCAAATCCTATCACATCTCCATCGGATAGATTCATGCTAAAGGAAGAAAAATAGGCTAAATTAATAATATTAAAATTAAACTTCTCAACAACAGTTTAGCTTAATTAGTAAAGAATGTCTGCCTTGATGACTGTGCTTTTTTAAGAACTATCTATATGTATATGGTACAACAGGAGTTCTGGTGGCGTAGTACCTAAGGCATTTGACTGCTAACCAGAAGGTTGGCAGTTCAAAGCCACCAGCCACTCCTAAGAAGGAAGGTTGGGAAATCTACTTCTGTAGTGATACCACCTTGGAAACCCAAAGAGGGGTCACTATGAGTCAGATCTGACTCCACGGCAGTGAGTTTGGATTTTTTGGTACCTGGTACAGCTACTGGTCTCTCTCTTCATGTGGAGCAAAGAAGAGCAAAACAATCAAAGATGCATGAAAACAATTAGTCCAAAGGATTAGAGGACCATGGGAACCTCAGCCTACACAACCCTGAGACCAGAATAACTAGATGGTGCCTGGCTACCACTGCCAACTATTCAGAAAGGGATCAAGATTGGAGATCCTGGACAGAGTGGGAGAAAAATGTGGAACTAAACTCAAAATCATAAAAAGACAAGGCTTATAGGTCTGACAGGGACTAGTGAAACTCCTGAGAGTATGGCTCCTAGTCACCCTTCAGACATGGAATTGAACTCACTCCCATGGCTTAACCTTCAGCCCAACAATAGACAGGTCTATGAGGTGAACAATTACACTAGGGAAGTTCATGCCTTAGAGCAATGAACCATGGGAGATCACAGAGTAGCATTTGAATAGGAAGAATGCTCAGAAGGCAGGAATGCACAGGAAAGAAGGACACAGGGAAAAGATAAAGTCAGAGAGGAAGTGTTACATTGTAAGGATTGCAATCAGTGTCATAAAATAAAATGTGTATGAACTGTAGAATGGAAAATGAATTTGCTCTGGAAACTTTCACCCAAATCACAATGAAAACTTAAAGAAAAAAAAAAACTATCTATACGGGATCACCTTGACAACAGCAAACTGAAAGATTAGATAGGAAAGTTAGCAGTAAGTTCATGTTAATGAGAGAAGAAGAATTTGGAAAGGAGGGTGTGAACAATTACACAACTTGAATGTAATCAATGTGACTAAATTGTACATGAAGAAACCATTGGTGTATGTTCTACTGTGAACATGTATTCTCAACAACAGAAAAAAATACATATATTTTTTTAATTTTAAACTTCTGTATAACTAAAGATATCATTCAAAAAGTTAAAAGACAAGCCCAGATTAGTGAAAGATATCTATGACACATATAACTGATAATGAATAGCCTCCAAAAACAGTAAGAAAGAGACAAATAACCCAGTAGGAAAAACATAACAGGCCATTCAAAAATATAAATACAAATAGTCAATAAATTCAAATAAATAGGTGAAGACACTAAATCTCCCTAAAACCAGGAAAATACAAATTAAATTTATGCGATTTCATATATATGGAATTGGTAAAAATTAATGTCTCTGACACATACATCTAAGTTATCAATATGTAGTGATATCAATATCAATAACTGAAATATCAAGTGTTGACAAGGATATATATATTGGTTGGATCACTCAAACACTGGTAAAATATATATTGGTAAAATCTTTGGAAAAAGCATTGAATATATCTAGCTAAAGATACATAAATACTATGACAGCAATTTTTACCCATAAATATATGAAACTCTCATATGTGCTCAAAGAGATAAACATGTTTAAGAATGTTCATTGTAATACTGTTCCTACTGGCAAAAAACTGGAAGTCAACTAAATTTTCATCAATAAGGGAATAGATAAATGGGGGTATACTGAAACAACAGACTATTACATAAAAGTTAGAAGAAACAGAATTACGTATGTCAAGAAAAGTTCTCAAAAACAATGTTGAGTGAAAAAGATAAGTGGTAGAATTATATATAGAATTCAACTGTATTTTTTATAAATTTTTAAATGAGTGAAATAATATATATTTCCAGATGTAAAATTATGAACTAATTTATAAAAATCACATGAAAGACTGTTAAAACACCAAACACTTGATAAAAGTTATTTCAAAGGAATACAAGGGGAAGATCAGAAAGGGTGTATTTGGAGGTTTAGCTATATTTTATTGTTTTAGTCCTCAACAAAATTAAAAAAAAAAAAAAAGAATGTTAAGATTTGATAAAGCTAGGTGGTACGTATATAGCTGTTTGATAAATTATCGACCATTGTTCATATTTTCTTATTTTACTATCTTAAAATATTTAAAATGTACTTAAATAATAAAAGACAGTCAAGTGCTATTTCAGACCAAGATGAAATAACAGGGACTAAACATGATCTCTGAAACATGAAAAAAAAAAGTGAGCCCTACAACTGCCCTTTCTGTCAGGAGCACGTTCCAGACAGCACAACAGGGAAAAGAATTCCAAGTAGAACGTGGCATTATCATATGAGGTAAGGACAGATAACAGACTCCAGAGAATCTGAAAGTTGTTAGGCAGAGTTCTGGAGGTAGGCAGCAGAGCTCCAGAGATTTCGATAGGAGTACCGTTAAGCCTTTGTTTAATAGTACAACATGAAAGCATAGGGTGAAATTCTGTAAGGGTGGGCAAAGCAGAACAAGGAATTGTAAATTTAACTATTCCTAGAGCTCACATAGGGATTAGAGGCATGAGAGTTCTAAAAGGTCAAAGTAGTGGTTCTCGTTGATCACCTGGGCAGTCAGTCAGAAATACTCCAGATGGGTCACACCTTCTTACAGAGTTAAATCACTTCAAGAGTAAAGGCTACCCTAGATCTGCCCCTAACAAAGCCTGAAAACAAACATCCAAAAATAAAGCTGCAACTTAACAACAAAAAGACAACCCAATTGAAAAACAGGTAAAAGGATTAATGTAATTGCTGTCAGTTAAGTTGTACACCTATAAAAGGTTGAACTGGCAAAAGTGGTTTGATAGCTATATACAACCAAAAACTTCATGGCATTTTTAGTTTGATGTCATGGTTTCATGAGACATCTCAGTAAACTGGCCTAATAACGTGTTCAGTGCTTCTGCCTACATCCTAGTTCCTTGCACAGGGTCTGGGGTCTTAAAAGTTTGCAAACAGCCATTCAAGGGACAACAGTTAGTCTTCTTTTGCCAAGAGCAACAAAGGAAAAATGAGACTCAGGACTAGGAAGAAGAAATAAAATTGCTTCCATGAACAACTAAAGATTCTATAAAAGAATCCTATTCAAAAGGGGGAAAATGCAGATCAGAATTTTGTATCTTCATGGAATCCAGATTTTCTGGAGCCATGGAAGCTCGATGAACCCCTGAAACTACTGCCTTAAGACAATATTTAAACTTTAAAACCTTAAACCAAATATATCCCCTGAAGACTTCTTAAAACCAAACAAAAAAATTACCTTAACTAGTAAGAATGTCTGCCTTGAGCATTCTCTTCTGTTGTTAGGTACCACTGAGTGGGTTCTAGCTCATAGTAACATTATGTACAACAACAGCACAAAACACTGCCCGGACCTGCACCCCCCTCACATTCTTTGCTGTGCTAGAGTCCATTGTTGCAGCCACTGTGTCAATCCACCTCCTTGAAGGTCTTCCCCATTTTCACTGACCCTCTACTTTACCAAGCATGATATCCTCCAGGAACTGGTCCCTTCTGACAAAATGACCAAAGGAGGTGAGACGAAGCCTGACCATTCTTGCTTCTAAGAAGCATTCCAGCTGTACTTCTTTCAAGACAGATTGATTCGTTGTTCTAACAGTCCATGGTACTTTCAATATTCTTTGCCAATACCACAATTCAAATGCATGGGTTCTTCTTTGGTCTTCCTTACTCATTATCCAGCTTTCCTATGAATATGAGGCTATTAAAAATATCCTACTTAGGTCAGGTGCACCTCAGTCTTCAAAGGGGCATCTTTGCTCTTTTAACACTTTAAAGAGGTCTTTTGCAGCAGATTTACCTAGTGCAACATATCATCTGCTTTCTTGACTGTTACTTCCATGGGACTTGATTGTGGATCCAACTAAAAGGAAATCCCTGACAACTTTAATCTTTTCTCCTTTTATTGTGATGCTGCTTACTGGCCCAGTTGTAAGGACTTTAGTTTTCTTTCTGTTGAGATGTAAACCATACTGAAGGCTGTAGTTTTTGATCTTTATCAATAAGTAAATGATTCATCAATAAGTAAATTATGGATAATATTATAAAGTACAGGAATTCCAGAACATTTAAATTATGCTTATGAAGAATCTGTAGATAAACCAAGAAGTAGTCATTCAAACAGAACAAGGGGCTACTGCATAGTTCAAGATCAGGAAAACTGTGTGTTAGAGTTGTATCCTTTCACTGTATTTATTCACTCTGCATGCTGAGTATATAATCCAAGCAACTGGACTATATGAAGAAGAATGTGGCATCAGGATTAGAGGAAGATTCATTAACAATCTGTGATATGCAGATGACACAACGTTTCTTCCTGAAAGTGAAGAGGACCTGAAGAAATTAATGATGAAGATCAAAGACTACAGCCTCCAGTAAGGATTATCCTCTTTTAAGGACTGTCTATGTGGGATCAAATTCACGGAAGTAACTAGGAAGATTACACAGGAAATTTAGGCCGCAGTGAGTTTATGTTAATGAGAGAGGAACAACATGGAAAAGGAAGGAAAGAATGGTTGCACAACTTGAAGAATGTAATCAATGTCACTAAATTGTACATGTAGATATTGCTGAATTCGTGCATATTCTGCTGTGTATATTCTCAACAACAACATAATTAAAAAATATATTAGAAAAATGGGCAATGGACTTCAATGGACATTTCACTAAAGATATATAAATGAGCAACAAACACCTGAAAAGATGCTCAACATCATTAGCCACTGTTGCTGGTAATTGCCACTGAGTCAATACTGACACATGGTGATCCAATGTGTGCTCCACAAGGTTTTCAAGGCTATGATCTTATGAAAGCAAATCACCAGGCCTGTCTTG